GCCTGGGAACTCTGCTGCGCAGCGGTTGCCATGGCTGCTGAAGCAGCGGCTTCACTTGCGAATGCTTTGCTGGCCTCCGCTGCCCTAGCTCTCCGCTGCTGCTGCTGCCTCTCCCTTTGCTGGCGGAACAGTAACCTATCACCCTCGGGTCCTAATGCCACGTGGTTAATCGGACGTCTAGCAGATCGCAAGATTCGGTCATCCTCACTAGTGGTATCCCTATCGCTCATCAGCTACAGAACTATACACGCTCTGCACTAGGTCACTCTTTGATGCCTACCGCAACGTAGTGCACAAACCGATTTAAAATAATTAATTAATTAATCAGTGGCTAAGTCAGAGGACGTACATTTGGGTCCAATAGGTAAGTTCAGGTTCCTACAAACAAAACTACTTGACTTTGACTAGTTCTCATACAAAAAGCACAATGAACAAAGAACAGTTCTAAACTATGCTGTCTGTCAGATGTTAATGGCTGTACATCTAACTAATCAAAATGAAAATAGAATAATTTGTTGGGTCTGTTTGCAGAATGGAATCTTGCCCAAACTTATCACCTGGAATCTACCCCTCCCTCAGTTCTTCCTGAATGTCTCTTGTCGTCAACGTCCCTGAGCAATCCAGAACATCGTGCGTGTCTAAAGGGGTGCACACGGCCCACCCCTGTCTTGAGAGTGATGTCCTCAACCACAGATGTTCTCACCAGATGTTCTCACCAGATGACCCGATGTTGATAGTGATGACCAATCGCTGCTTCGGCACAACCAGTATTGCACCACCGTTCCACCTCAGCATCAATCATACATCAGATATATCTCATCACACTGCGAACACCCAATATTCACCACTTAGTAGCCTTCCTGGCGATACCCCTCACCTCCTGGGTCGCCTAACTTGTCTCCACCCTCCTCACTACACACTTCCCACGGTCGCGCGCCCAGCAGACCGCGTGCATCTACCGCAAAGGCAGAAGACAAGCGCCAGATGAGCGTACCGTACCACAGCTCGGATACCAAATTGCAAGGAAAATGAGCGATAGCGAACTTCAGAAATCAAACAGCATCATACACATGGGACTAGATAGTCGTGACGTCGGACCAAAAGCAGAATTGCATCACGAGTTTCACCAAATAAGAGCACAGCAAAAGCTCATAATTGACAATGCTGGAATAGTCTCATCATCATCAACGAAGAACCAATGTCGATATCCTATCTGGCATTCGGCGCCCAGACTAGAGATGGCAGATCCTATCTAGCCTAATCTACAATGCCGCCGATGACGTCAACAGCTCCCCGAAGTACGAGCAGATCTCGGCCAATGCCGTACGCTTCAAGCACCAGGTATGTCTCTCGTATCATTCACAACCTCGTTCCCCAACTCACAGATGCCACATGCACCAAGGACCACCATGCGCCCCATCCAGCATACAGCAGCGCAGCTCGGCTATGGCTGCCTGCTCCTTCCAGCTCGCCCATGAGTGGGTGAGCGCTGGCCACCGTTAGCGCAGCAGCGCTTGCGCAGCGTGCAGCCAGTGCCCGAATGCCGAATGCGTTTGCAGGCCCTTTCCTAAATGGAAGTGGCCTGCCTGCCTTGCCTGCAGCCTGGCTGCGCTGGGCCCCTGCCCAGAAGCTTCCGGTAGGCCCAGAGAGGCTGAGCCCCAGACCAAACGGATCAGGCCCAAGGCCTGTGACAGTTACCCGTGCCCAACTGCCCACATCCTGAGTTGGGTCCATGCTGCGTATCTCGCCCAGGGCCTGACTCAGATGCATTTGATAAAGGAGGCCAGGGCCTGGGCGCTTTCAACCAACTGGCGCTGCGCAACTGCCTGAATTTTCCCCCAGTTGCGAAGTAGGACAAAATAGGCCTCTTGTCGTCTGTCGAGCCTGCCTTCACTTAGGCGGCTGACACTGTTGCAAATAGGGGGCCAGTAGGGCTTATCGAGGTCTTGTGCCTCGCACAGTGTAATCAGTTAGGGGATTCTGCAGACAGTTGAGGGTTCAGCCTTCTGATGAGTCAGTGAAACTCCTACGAAACAGTTTGTCGCAGCCCCTCGTTTGTTGTCCTCTTCTCCCTCTCTGCCTATGGTTTACCGGGCAGTTCTGTTTGACGATATTTTGTTCCCATATCTAAAGGTTTCAAAAACGCTACAAGGTGCACATTTCCAATTTTGTGACATCCAGCCAGTGTCATCAGACAAAGTGGCCTCGCAACACGTTGTTCATGCAGTGCTTGCCTTATCTTGTTGTTCGATGAAGATCGGGTTTTCGAGTTCAGCTCACCTTCGCAGGGATGCAATTCTTTGTCCCGGCGACTGTAGCACATGTATTGCATGGGCCAATACTGTCTTGATCCTCATTTTCCTCCGACTATCTATCTTTGTTTGGTGAGAGATTGATTCTTGGCTGCAACTCTTTGTCCCGGCCATTGCAGCACGTGTAATGCATGGGGCAATGCCGTCTTTATGTCACCGTCATTTTCCTCCGACTGTCTACCTTTGCTTAGTAGAAACATTTTGGTGAGAGATTGGTTCTTCATTGACTAACATGTCTTCTTTCTGTTTTCAACGAAAATAGTTTTTCTCAGGTGCAAATGAGTCATGTTGCTATTTCTGTCAGAAGAATTGATCATTAAAAGCAAACCCATGTCTATGAAGTATTGGGATGGCTGCTTATTGAAATATATATAAGGCGAAATGCAACTACTTGTTCTGACATTTTGTCGGTTCTTTCCAGTAAATGAGAATGTAGATAAAGCGTCTCCTGGGAAACCTTCTCAACCTGGTGGTCGACATAGCAACAGTGACATTTATCACAGTGACATTTATCAAATGCCACTGATTGTTTACTTTGATTAGCTGCAGTGTTGCATACCCCGACGGTAGGCGACCCTTGACTGATCGGCACCTATCGGTCGGGGGTCGTCGGCACCCTGAAAAATAAATAAATAAATAGATAAATATGTATATTGTCACAGCCCCTCCTTTGTTGTCCTCTTCTCCCGTTCTGCCTACGGTTTACGGGGCAGCGTCATATATATATATACATATAATATATGTTTGTGACGATACATATATATATACTTTTTATATATACTTTTTATACTTTTTATTAAATTAAAGAAGATATAATTCCTGCTCAAGGAAATAAATGGTGGTTCTCTATTGGACCAGTTCTAGTAGTAACTCCAGTAATATTAAGCTATTTAGTTGTACCTATGAGTAATCGAATGAAATCGAAAATTAAAAAACATATTTGATTAAATAATAGATATTAGTATATCATTTCTATGGTTATAAAAAATGTAGTATTTGGGTCCAGAACCCCTAATAACCCCACAAACACCCCCATAGCGGCCCCCAATACCCCCATACAACCCCCCAACCCCCCCCAACCGCCCCTAATACCCTCTTTTAGACATATTCTATCGTTGAATTATTTCTTATTTACATCTTCATTATATAATGATTATGACATAAAACTCAAATGATTTTTAATTTCTAAAAATTCATACTGTGTTATGATCCTGGCCAATTTCGAAGTACACATTCATCAGATAGTACAATGCCGTCCAATTGCAAAAAGAAATGAATGAACTTGAGAGGAGAGAGAGGAGAGAGAGGGTAAGAAGAAGAAGAAGAATTAAAGAAGAAGAAGATGATGTACACCAGCATAGACAAATGATAATGCTCTTCTTCTTCACCAAACACTCTCCTCCTCCTCATCTCCTCATCTCTTATTCACACAAGAAGTAATAATACAATGTTGAATGGCTGAACCAGAATCAATGTCTGAATCCCTCTTCTACTGCAGGTATCACTTGAGGTCCACCATAGCCATGGCCGCCTCTCTCCTTCTTCCTCCTAGGCCGAGGCTATGGCGGACTACCAGGGCATGGCCCGACTCTCCAAAGGACAACATAAAGCAGCTATGGCTGCTCTAGCTCAGGCCGCCATGCCTGACTCTGCCTCAAATATTCTTGGTGTAGCTCTGGCCCAACGGGGGCCTTCCTGCTGCAGCGCCCACCAAGGTGATGAAGATGGCAACCACCATAGCCAGGTAAGTACCTCTGGCGCTCCCCCTTCCTCCTGGTCTTCTTCGTCCTCCGTGTCCTTGCTCCTTCCCCAGCAGCGCTGCTCCATGCTAGCGCTCCTCCAGCCAGCGCTCCAACCAGAGTGTCGCCGAACTTGCACACCGACAATGAGGTCGGGCTCTTTGCTCGGCCTGGAGATATAGCGGCCTACTTGCCTCTTGGGCGGTGATTTTCAGGCCGCTCGGCCTTCCCAGAAACCGGTACCTCCTACCTTTCGGAGGTAAGCATCATTGCAGACTCTGATATTGCCCGTACAGGCCCTAGACTCAGACTGGTTGGACTGGTACCCGTCTAGACCTAGCCTACAACTACTGGACCTCTAAAAATGCCAACTTTTGTCTTCTTCTGCTCGGCCTCGAGTACCTGGCACATCTACCTCTTCAGGGTGTGGTACCGGCCTACCTGCTACTTGAGTGTTTCCCCGCTGCTTCGTGTTGCGGCCTCTTCCCCCTCCACTTGAGTGTTTTCCCCGCTGCAATCCTCAATGTCACGGCCACAGGTAAGTACTGGCCCTGCTGGCCCAATGAATGAACAAGTGCCCTTGTGGGTCACACACACACTCACACCAACAAGCACTCAGACAGACATACAGAGCAGCAAGCGTGCCCACACACAGACTTGGAGAACTCAGTAGCAAGCAGGAAACTCAGCAAGGCATTCAGTCCATAAGCGAAACTCAGAAATCAGCTGTGTGTCTCAGTCTTTGTTTGGTCAGGTCATCACAATTGCATATTTGTTCTTGTTAGTTAGATTCCTATCTATTGTATATATAATTATGGATATGTATGTATGATATAATATCCATTATTGTTATGTTTCTTGATATCTATTCAGCCGATGATGAGATGATGTGATTGGTTTCTATGTTTTGTTCGGCTGGTTTCTTGGTGGGGATGGGGCATGTTTGTAGTGTCAGAAGGAGCAGCAGCTGAAGCAAGTCTTGCACAAACAGCAAATGCAGACAAATTCTCTGCTGAGTCATCAATTGGAAGAGATGGGTATGAAGGATGGGACACTGGGGAAAATCAGGTGATTGTTGATGGTATTGCTGACTTTGGACCATATGGTTCATTGCAAGGAGAGGGGGAGGAGAGAGAAGGGACGAGCGTTAGGGAAGGAGGCGATTTTGTTGTGGATGTGGCATCTTTGGAGGAGCGAAGGTGGTTGGATAAGATGAAGACATGTGATGTCCAGCAGGGTAACAATGCGGAATTCGATGGGTGGATAGATCCTGTTTCTGATGGTTGGGTGGGTGCTGGCCCGCCAAATACAAATGGCAAAAAGATCTGGATGGATCATACAGGGCCAGGTGAAGAGAAGAGAGTGGTGGCTGCGGAGAAGCGCGGACAACAACAACACCAACGGGAGGCTTTGGATGGGCGATTGTCAGACGAGGGACCCATGAGTCGGTTTTCAGAGGAGCTGCTGATGTTTCTTGGCCGACCTCCGTCTCCAACGTACAACCCAGTCAACCCTTTTAGCAGCAGAACACCACGTATATCAGGAGTTTACGAGTGGATAAAGACCATCATCTGCTTGCCACTCTTCATCCTCAGGGTGCTCCTTATACTGCTCACTATAGCTGTTGGATATGTATGGACAAAGCCTATCCTTATTGGGATTGAGAACACCGTAGGCCCCATGCCAGTATGGCGTCGGCGGCTCATGTATGGTACAAGGCTCTGCGGTCGTTCAATAATGTTTGCTCTTGGGTGAGTTAGCATCCCTGCTGTCCGCGTTCCCCTGTCTGTTGTCTTACTTACTGACTAGCAGTGATTCTGTTCTTTTGAAAAATATAATATTAAGTCGTTGCATGCCATGACTCCGGCTCTGGAGAGAGGCAAGCAAGGCTGGCTTGCAGCATTCCCCCCCCGCCCCGAAAGGAGGAAACCCTCCCGTCATTATACTCAATGATTCAGTCTGTTTATCAACAGTTATATGTATGTATTATGCACCATTCAGCCACACAGGCCTGATTATATTCAATATGTTTATCAACAGTTACATGTGTGTACAAGGTACCATTCAGCCACACGGCAGGTATCGGTGTTGAAATCGATGCAAGGCAGTCTCTTACCTCCTTTCTTTCTCTCTGTGGATGCATGGGGGAATGTGTGCGCTTTTGCGCACCATTTTCACCACGAGCACGTGTGTGCGTGCACAAGAGTTTGTGTGGGTGTGTGCTGTGTTGTGGGTGTTTATTGCATCCTGTATGTATGCTTTGCGTGTTGTGTGTGTGTGATGCATAGTGTGTGTGTGTATTACATGTGTGTGTTGCGTAGTGTGTGTGTATTACATGTTGTGTGTGTTTTCTGTGGTGTGTGTGTGTGTGTGTGTGTGTGTGTGTGTGTGTGTGTGTGTGAGAGAGAGAGAGAGAGAGAGAGAGAGAGAGAGAGAGAGAGAGAGAGAGAGAG